TACAACAACAGTTCAGATCCAGAACACTAGCTATGTTACCGTATGACTGTCTGTTTTCATAAATAAAGTCAGCGTGTGAAGTTACTTGCAACTTCGAGAAATGGTGTCAGTACTGAGATCTGGCATACTGAGACCGAGACCTCATAATTTTATCTCGAGAATGGTCTCGACACCGGGACCTAGTCTCGAGATTGTATGGGCAGTGAACTGGCGTTTCAAATGCACCTGTTTTGCAGACAGCGATTGTTATATTGACATGTTAAACAGAGTGTATAGAGTGCAGACCACTAGTATGTACAAATGCCCCACTTCTGAACTCAAGTATACCAAAATTATTTGGCACTTTTCTTTGTGTTTCTTTCGTTTCCAACATTTAAACAGCTATGACAGCTGTAGTTTCCTTAGAAACATCAGGGTGCCACCTGCTAACAACAATGTCACACAATTACACATAGACACCAACCAAAATTTCACCACAAAATAGAAAATAAATAAAGTTTAAAACAAAATGGGGTACATTAAGTGAAGAAACGAAATTGAATACCAATTGAAAATAAAGCAGCGCCACCACCGGAAGTGGTATAAAATGTTTTCGTACATGTAAATCAATAATACCAAGTGAAGCTAAAACAAAGTCACCACCGGAAGTGGTATAAAAATGTTTCCTCAATTTAAGTCAATAATACCAAGTTAAACTAACACAATCCCATCACCTGAAGTGGCCTAACGTTTTCCCCCATTTACGTTAATAATACCAACTGAAACTAAAATAGTGCCACCACCGGAAGTGGTATAAAAATGTTTTCCTACATGTAAGCCAATAATGCCAAGCGAAACTAAAACAGTGCTACCATCGGAAGTGGTATAAAAATGTTTTCCTACTAATGAAACTAAAACAGCACTATCATAGAAAGTGGTATAAAATGTTTTACTACAAATGAAACTAAAACAATGCCACTACCGGGAGTGGTATAAAAATGTTTCACTCCATTAAAGTTAATAATACCAAGTGAAACTAAAACAGAGCCACCACCGAAAGGGGTAAAAATGTTTCACTCCATTTAAGTTTAATATTACTATGTGAAACTAAAACAGAGCTATCACTGGAAGTGGTATAACAATTTTGCACTCCATTTAAGTTTAATAATACGAAGTGAAACTAAAACAGCGCCACCACCGGAAAAACAAGTAATGCCCAGTATTCTGAATAATTTAGCTTTCTTTAAAGTAATATAAGAAACAGAGATTGAGAACCTCAAAGTCGTCAAATTAAAGAAAAAATTTAAAAAAAAGCAACTGATAAAAAATTTGAAATACACGATGATAGAAGAATGCATGTACACTTTGGGTATTGCTACAGCTTTGTTTATTAGAACGTGTCGATAGTTCATGAAAAAAGAAACTTACGATCGGCAATTGTAATTTCTTCAGGCGTTCTATCAACGTAAACATTTATTTTCACCACCTTATTTTTAAGGTAGTTCACCTTTTAAGAAGTCCACCAGTAAGTTTACGTACTTACGACGCAAAAATCTGGGGTTTGATTGCTCCTGGTGGACAGAGCACAGATATTATAGGGTGTAACTTTGCGCTAAAACAAACAGAAATCATTCTAAAATTATATTTTTTTCTGTATGAAAAGAAACAGTGGATGCATGATTTTTTCTTCAAAAATGTTCTGTTCTTCATTAAGTCCAACATGAAGTATTGCATATGTAGGCTTAGTCAGTGGTGGGATT